GTTTCACACAGTTTATTATTCAGTTCTTTATTGCATCCTAATCAAGCATTACAAATAATGAAAAGAATGCATAAAAAGAAGAAAAATGGCACATCAGTTCGGGAAGGGAAACTGCTATCATATAGCATGCATGACTGCATCCAAAGATCAATTAACCTTTTAGCTTGAAGCATTTTTGCCCCCAATTACATTTCGGCCAATCTCATAAACAAACTCGACAACCACAAACCCTGCCGACTTTGAATGCAGTTAAATGTTTCCTGGTTAAAAGTTTAGCCACAAGCAATTAAATTCAGCGTCCAAATTTAGCGTTTTATTTATCATGCATTTCTACAAATGTAAAAACGCATATTGTGGCGACCCACGGCGTGTGTGTATATGCGTGTGTGTGTGTGTGTGTCTGTCTGTCTGTCTGTCCGGGTATTCCAACTCGGTAACCAAGCAATCCCCGGCGCTGAAATTCGCCAGTGATTTCTCTGCCAAATGCCACTTCAGGGCCGCGGCATCAACCTTAACGCACGTCTCAGCCCGGCGTACGAACACATGAAAATTTTGGCGAGAAAATTACTAGCTCGGGAACCAGAAAAGCTGAAAAACAGAAATTCTAAAAAAATGTTCCCCGTGCATGTGCCGCTTAAAGACTTCAAATTCAGCTCCCAATTGTGCGTGGTTCTCAAGTACAAGCACGTGAAAATCTTTGGCAGGAGAATTGCAAACTTGAAAACAGAGAAGCTAAACGGCCAAAAATTTAAGGGTGTTCCCCCGTCAATCCAAGTATAACATGAAGATTTCAAATTCAGCTCACGCACGGAAACTTAAAGTTTTGGCGAGGAAATTCTAACTGAAGAGCTAGGTCATTTCCAAAGAACGACCGTTAAACGGAAATTGTTAATTTTCCTCTATGCAAAAATTACGACGTTTTACGCCATTGAGAGCAAAAGACAGGTGTAAAGCAACAACCATTCATGCAATTAACGACCTGAGTACTTCAAGTTGGGTGCAAAAACGCATGATCGCACCGGCAAACCTGGCACATTTCAGCCTGAGAAGTGCAAAAAAGTTACCATTCATACAATTAATGACCTATTTGCCTTAAGTTTAGTGTAAAAACGCATGATCGCACCGGCAGTCCTGACGCGTCTCATCCTAGGGTTTTTTGTTCTAATTCAATTTCTATACAGCAGCGTGGATGATGAGATTTCTATGATGGCGAATTTACTGGGTTATTGACAGAAAGAATAAGAAGGTACAAAATGCTACAACAAACTACATACGCTTCTAATCCTGAAAACCCTCGTTTTGGTAACCCGACGAAGAGTGATTAAGTGAAAACTGTCTATTTGGTTTCGTTGCCGGTTTCGTTCGTGAGAATTCGGCGTCCTGACTGAAGAGATCTGCGCTGAAACTGATGATCTGTAAGTATTTTTTTTTTTCTTTCGGGTAAAACAGTTATTAAAATTAAACACAGCAGCCGATCCCCAACGAAGCAAAGTCGTAAAGTTTATTATGCGTTTTTTGCAGCAGTGCAATGCGAAAAACGCATATTGACGAGAGGTTGTCTGTGCGTCTGTGTGTGCGTCTGTCACGCACTTTCATCTCAGGACCTATAAAAGCTGCGGGGCTGAAAAAAAGGGAACTCAATCTGCATGCACGTACCGCCCCCAATCCCCAAAATGGGCGCCAAAACCCGCGTGGTA